CCCAGACTGGGGGCAGTCTGGGTAGCTGAGGTTGGTCATGTGGGCAGTGCGTGTCTACACAATTGACCCTCACTAAATCCCCAGACACCAAGGCCCAGTGGGCCTCCCTGGGTTCACAGAGGTTGTCACCCATCGTTGCTGGGAGAAGTGAGCATGTCCGCGTGACTGCACTGGGAGGGAGGTAAGTCAGGCCTGGTGTCTCCTGGAACAGGCTCCACCTGCCTTCTCCTTTGAAATGGTGACTGTGAGTATAGCAGTTTTCCCATGCCCTGTGAGTCGTCCTAGTAAGGCATCGAGCCTGAGGGTGGTCTGGGGACCCCATCAGATGTCTTATTTAAGAATACTTGACAAACAAGTATTCTTTTCACACCTGTTAAAATATTGGCTTTCCCATTTCCGTGGTATGGCAGTCTCCTGCTAGTTTTTCACCAAGCCCTTTCTGCTTTCTCCCTGGAGCCACAGGAATGTAGCAAAACCACATTTCCCAGCCTCTCTGGAATTAAGCACAGCAGCACCACCGAGTTCTGGTCAGTGGAAGGCGGGAAGAAGTCACACCCCTATGCACAGGCTTGGTCCCAAATATGGTCCCATGTGTGACCCTCCAACCACTTTATCCACCACAGGTGAAGGCAGGGGGCTCCAAAGGCTGAGAGGGAGGGCACATAGTGGAAAAAAGTGGTTGTCTGAGCTGTTTCCTGGTGAGGGTCACCTGACCAGGGGCACTGGGATGGACTGCTGTGTAAGCGGGAAACAAACTTTTATTGTGTGAAGCCACTGGCATGCTGAGGTTACTTGTGACAGCCCACCCCAGCCAGTGCAGAACCTGGGACCCTGAAGCAGGTGCTGCTCAGTGACTGAGTGGTGTGGCTTGGAAACAAATTCAGGAGGCTGACAGCTCAAGATTCATGTTATGCAGTGACAAAACATTTGACTAAACTCTATCCTGTGATAACCTGACAGAAAGACCCCACGCTGACTGATCCTGCAGCCCTAGGCGAAATGATTGGAAGGAATCAGTGTTTGCAGCCAACACATAAAATTGGATGAAGAAAGAATGGTGTACAAAGCAAAAGTGAGTGGAAACAGAAAGTGTCCAGAAGTGTGAGGACTTCAGGAAAACTGTGGTGAGGGACCAGGGACCAACAAGACAGCCTTCCAGAAAAGACCAGATCAAGGACAGGTACCTTCCCACTCAAGCCTTCAGTTCCATATAACCTCCAGGTACCAGCCGTTCAATTCCAGGAAAGACAAGAGAGCAAGCGTGCAAAAAGACAGATAAAAGCCTTGAAAAGCATACGCAGTCAGGGTTATGGTGGAGTTGCTAGCTGACACACGCAGCTGATGGGATGTACAGACCAGAGCCCATTGTGCCCTTAAGAGAGCCAGGAGGCCACAGAAACACGGAGCAACAGACAAAGACACCCTGGCTGCTTAAGACTGAGCATCTTTGGTCCCTCTTCATTGCTGCAGGAGGTGGACCACGGCAGCCCTCCAGGAGGGCATCATCTCACGACCCCTTCAGATGAGGCTATGAAGGGAAGAGGCCTGAGGGTAGGACCAACAACGGACAAATGGACAAGGGGGGCCCCCAGGCAGCAGAGTCGGGGTCCAATAGGATTTAGATTAGACCTAAATCTAATTAGATCACCCCACCGATTTCAGCACCATTATGGACCCATCTCCCTTATGAAGGGGAGATTCTGTTACAATAACCCTGGTCACATTTAACCCAGTGCTTTGGTGGGGGAGCGGATAGCTCGTCTTTTTAGTTCATAGGTTCCCATGATACTGGCCCTGATATCAGTGCCCCTACATTAAACCCAGAATATATGGGGTTAAAACCAAAAGCACTCATCCTCTTTCCCTGCTTCTCTAAGTTACATTCATATGTAACAATTGGGGTGTTTTTGTATCCCTGAACTTCACAAGGCAGATGGAGTTACTAATTGTTAAAAGCCCAGGTGCCCTCAAGCTGGGCTCACACTGATGTTTTGGCTAATTACCAGTTCTTGAGGTTTGTTACAGGGAAACTGACATCAACAAGCTAAAGCTTCTCAGACCTCAACTCCTTGGCTTCCTGGAGCCAGAATCCACCATCCACTACGGAGACAGAGACAGTTGAAGGACACCCACTTGCAATTCCCTTATCCACCATCCTCCTCCCTCCAAGCAGCCTCACAAGGCCAAACGCAGGCTGGTGGGAAAGCGCCAACCAGCAAGGCCACAGGCTCCCCCTCCCTACCAGCAGCCACATCCCTCACAACCTTTAAAACCCCTTGCCTCCCAACTTTCGGGGAGACAGGACAAATCTGAGAGCTCTCGTCTCCCGGCTGACGTCACCCGAAATACAAACTCTTTCCTTGCCATAAGCCTGGTGTTCTAGTTGTATTTGGCCCCTCTTGTGTGGCAGATAAAGAACCTGGGTATGTATCCGGTAACACCCGGACCATGAGGAACCATATCGGGGGGCTGATGGAGAGAACTGTGCCATGCTGGGAGATGTTCTGTGTCCTGCTGGATGCCGTGACTAGATGTGTGCCCTGGGGAGGTGAGTTCTCTATGTGGGTTCAAGAAAGAAGCAGATGTCTGGTCACCAGAAGGGAGGCAATGACAAGTGCTTCCCCTTGTTCAACAATTCATTCCATTTCCTTCTGGAAACTACATGATCCAGCTTCCCCTACAGCTAGATGCCACCACGAGGCTGAGCTCTGGCCAGGGCAGCGGGGAGGGAGTATGCGGGCATAAGTAACGTAGGCCACTTACAAGCCTGGCCCATAAAACCCTCCCATACGCGATTCTCTCTTCTCTTCCCCCAAGCACTGACTAAATGGAGAGGATATGGAGAGCCTAAGGAAGAGGGAACGGAAGAGGGAACGCCTAAAAGCGTGATCTGATTTGAGCAGCCACACAGGACTGTGTGAGCAAGACACATACAATTATCTGTCAGGGTTGTTTGCCACAGCACTAGCCTACCCTTACTGATATAAATTGTTTAACTTTTTTTGCTTACAAAAGCAATACAGTGCAAAACTCTTAAACAATACAGAAATACTACAGTTAAACTTTCCCTCCCCGCCCACCTCCTCTCCTTGTTGCACATTCCCCTTGGACAACCAATGTAAGAGTCTGATATACACGCACAGGAACAAGCCTGAGAGGCTACACTCAAGTTATTTTTTTAACGGGATTCTAAGACTATGTAAGTACTTCAGGAAAACGCAGTGACAAATGGCTGCTGGAGAGACCATTGTTTTAAAATTAAGTCAGTAAACACAAAGCAGACAGTAATCCTAGATAACTGGAGGCTGTACATTCAAGACATTTTTAGTGATTCAGAAGCAGTGCATGTGAATTGTACAAAATTAGAAAATCCATACAAGAAAAAAATAATTATTCTCTACTACTCAAGGGGTACCACTGTTAAAACCCTGTGCACCTTGTTCTGTTTTTTTCTATGTACATATGTGTATATGTATACTTTTAGAAAGAGAAATTACTCCTTTCTGATTAGAAAAGATCATAATCTTTCTCTTTTAGCAGCTCAGCAAGCCAGAAATGCTCTGTCTCATTCTTGAGTGAGGAAAATGTAACATGCTGGTTGGACAGCATGCTGAGCTCCGGTGGTAAAGTGACAAATAGCACCATAATTAAAGTGTCCTTGACGCTTTACTTTGTAGCAAAAGAAAATATAAAGTTCTCTACCTTAGCCAGAACAGGAGAGAGGTTCTAACTCTAGATATCCTGAGGGTGGAACTAGTATAAAATGGAGCAAGGACTGATAACAGAGGTGTGGAAACAGTACCAAATTATACCCAGGCATATCTTTGTCTTTAATTTCTTTCCTAAATTATTAAATATTTTAAAAGGTAATACTACTTTTTATATTTAGTTGCTTTAACCAAAAAAAAATCTATACCCTCTTTCTGCTGGCCAGGATGACTTATAGCCCACAGATTTTGCACTTTTGTGCCTGTGACTTACCAAGTAAGCACAAATCATTGACTACTAATAACAGTTATCATACCGACGTTTTAAAATCATTTCCTTCTTTAATGATTCAAAACAGATCCAGATGTATCCCTATGTCCCATCCACTCTCTGGTATTCCAGCCCCACTAGTGCCATCTCCATCATTAGCCCAAGACCAGTGAGTCACTACCCACCTGGATGCAGCTTCTCTCAACTTCAGTCAAGTCAACCCCAAAAATATAATCAGCCTTAGACCTTCATGCCACTTTTACACAACCATAAGTGACTGCAAACGTAACAATTCAATGTGCCAACATACACGCTCTTTAACCCAACACATGCCAATCTCCATTACATCCTGACTAACCCACAAATTTTGTAGCTACTTGGCAGAGTTCAGGTTCTATAGAAACGGGCACAAGGGTCATTGCATGTTTTTGGTTTTGTGTTTTGGTGAGGAAGATTAGCCCTGAGCTAACATCCGTGCCCATCTTCCTCTACTTTATATGTGCGACGCCTGCCACAGGATCCTAACCTGGGAACCCCGGGCCACCAAAGTGGAGCGGGCAAACTTAACCGCTACAGCACCAGGCTGACTCCATATATTTTTAATATTTATATGCCACTTGTTTCCACAAAAGTGATTCAGCAGGTTCTAAAATGAAACACAAGAATTGGAATCCACACAAAAGTGTGATACTAAAATGCACATAATCTTTCTTAGGGAAATCTTTTTCAGTGGCCAATAGGTGTCCCTTAACCCATATTCCAAATTAACAAAATAAATCCCGAATATAAACAAAACTCCATTTTGAAGCCTCTTTTCGGAGCGTTTCACAAAGTACCATGTTCTTAACAGGAAAAGAAAACAGGTAACAGGTGCCTGGACAAGGGCCCTTCGGCACCTGCCTCTCACCAGAAGACCCACCCACACATAGTGCCCACCTGGCGAAATGGATGTTGAGTCAAATGAGCACAGGAGAAGTGACAGGTGCCTGGACAAGGGGCCCTCGGGCGCACCTGCCTGTCACCTGGTGACTCTCGAGATGGTCGCTCAGTCAGGGGAGCACACGACAGGGAACAGGTGCCCGGACAAGGGGCCCTTGGGCGCACCTGCCTCTCACCTGGGGACCCGCGAGGTGGACGCTCTGTCAGGTGAGCACCCGAGAGCTTAGGGCCTGCGCCCCGCCCTCGCCCCGTCGCCCTGGTTACAAACCCATTCCCCCCTTAGCGCACCCGCCACTTGCTCCATTCTCGCGAGAGCCCGGAGGCCGCCGCCCCCCCCCCGCCCCGAGGCCTCACTTCATAGCTGCCACACCACTTCCGGACAGCCTCACTTCCGGGCGCCGCCTCACTTCCGCCTCGTCCGGCGCGGCCGCCCGGCCCCGGCCCGGTGCTGCTGGCGCGGCGCCCTGTGGGGAGAGGGGTGAGTGCGTGGCGGGAGGCCGGCCTTCCCGCCCCTCCGCTCCCAGCGGAGCTACCCGGAGACGCCCCTCAGCCCGGCCCGCGCTCCGGGATCCCCAGGCGGCCCCGGCCCGTCGCGCCCGCACCCGACCCAGGCCCCCTCCTCCCTCCGGGCCTCCCATCCTCCTCTCCCCGTGGGTCTCCTCCCTGCACGGCCTCCCCATTCCATCCTCTCCTCCCGGTCCTCTGCCCTCTCCATCTCTCCCCATCCCCTCCGTAGCACCTTCCTTCCTCTCCTGTGCTCTCCCCTCCCCTCCTTTCCCCATCCTCTCTCATCCCCTCCCCATGCTCTCCCCTCCTCTTCCCTGGGCCAGGGGCAAGGGCAGCGGGCCGCAGAGGTCGCCCAGGACCCGCCCGAAGTCTGAGCCCCGGCGGGTGGCCTGGACGGACGTGTCCTGCCCTGACATTCAGAGTTGCCCCAGGTGTAAACAGCGTGCTGAGCGCGTCCTTGCTTTTATCTGCAGACCGCTCACAGATGAGGTTGCGGCGCTAGGTGTCACCACCATGGCAGCTCCCTGGAAGAGCGCGCTCCTGATACTGCTAGCGTCTCAAGCTGTGTCCTTGGTGAATGCCTCTGACGAGGAGGAAGTTCCAGAAGAATGGATACTTCTGCATGTTGTTCAGGGTCAGATAGGAGCCGGGAATTACAGCTATCTGCGGTTAAATCATGAGGGAAAGATAGTTCTTAAGATGCAGAGCTTAAAGGGCGATGCAGACCTGTACGTGTCTGACAGCACCCTCCACCCGAGTTTTGATGACTATGAACTGCAGTCTGTTACCTGTGGCCAGGACGTCGTTTTTATTCCAGCGCATTTCCAGCGCCCTGTGGGGATAGGGATTTACGGACACCCATCTCACCACGAGAGCGAATTTGAAATGAAAGTCTACTATGACCGAACCATCGAACAGTACCCATTTGGTGAGACGGCGTATTCGGATGGCACAGATACGAGTCATAAGCACGCTTATGCTCCAGAAGATGCATCTCAAGAAGAGGAATCCGTTCTCTGGACAATATTAATTAGTATTTTGAAGCTGGTACTTGAAATTCTTTTTTGATTTCACTGAACATACTGTGGAGTATAATACCCTTAATCTGTGAAGTTGACTGCAGTTTGCTGTGAACCTAGCTACTCTCACCTGGTTGGAGTTCTGGTTACCTTTTCTAGTTGGGGGATGGAAAAATAAAGCCATACTGTTTTGTTACCTCAGTTACCCCAAAAGTAGGAAAAGCAGCAAACATGATATTTATTTCCTTTTAAAGATCAAAATTCCTATAAAAGATATGAACAATAAAATGTTTAAACTCCATTTTGATTAGTCAGGAGACTAAAAAGAATGATTATTGCAGTAATTTAGGTTTATATAAAAGAAATCAAAATAGAGCAACTTTTCATGCAGTTACACAGATCACATTAAAAGGCTGATAGCTTTATAATTTTACTCTAGTTACAGATTCTAAATGAAGTTACAATGTGTAGGCTTTGAAGAGTTACTAAAAGCAAGTCTGAGATGTAATTTCTTCATACTTGCCTGAGCATGGACACAAGCTCCATGCCTCCACCCCAAGTAGGGATGGTACCTCCTATGTAAACAGGATTTCCTGGCAGGCTGGTGGTGTTTCTGTGCAGTTGTAAAATCAGCTGCACCAAATCTCATCAGGTCATTTGTAATGTTAACATCTTGGGCTACCTATTTATTAAAATTGTTCCGTTACTAAATAACTTTCTTATGCTACTTATGGTAGGCCAGAAACAATGTAGATTAGGAAAATTTCATAAAAGTAAAAGTAATTTTCAGGCTAATAAAAGTATTTCAAATTAAGCTGCCTAATATTTCCACTGAATTTCCAGAGAGAGTCAAAGTACTAAGATATAAAAACCTTTTGGAAGATGAATTATTTCTCTACCTGAAATTGGTTTCAAGGGCAAGAGTAGCTTATAATAGAAATAAATCAACTTGCAGATTTTAAGCAAATAGTTAATTTCAAAAATCTTTTATTGGAATAAAAATGAGAATGTTGTAAATAAATTGGCACCAAATAGTTCATTTAAATGCATATTACAATGTTGCGGTCAAAAAATTATTTTATCCCTCTTTGCTGTTTTTCCCCCTTCTGCCCACTTTCCTGGGTGTTGGGGGGGCTCGCTGACAACAGTCACAAATCCAGCGACCTAGGAGAAAAATTGTTAATACAGAATGAAATTTAATTTTTTAGCACTGAATTTTAAACCCATTTTGCTCTTGTTCCTTAGCTATCACTAATGACAGTCCTCTGTGGATGTGTGGTGGGAAGGGGACTAATGAATTCCTTAAAGAGAAAAATGTAAACTTCCCTTTAGATGATTAGTGTAATCAATGTCCTGTGAAATTCAGTGCAAGTGGTGGGGGGGAGGCATGGTGAGAGGAGCAATGCTATAATAGGGACCTTTAAAAAATTATTAAAATCCTTTCTGAAATCCAAACACGATCACACTTAAAAAGTTCAGTAATACAAATCCTAATATAAAACCTGTTCTTGAGTTCGGCTTTTTTTCGGCCTTTCTCGCTGCTGCTCACTGGCAGCTGTGTATCTTAACAGCATCCTCTCAAGTCCTGGTGTATTTTGCCAACACAGCACTTTAAAACTTACCAAGTATTTGATAGCACATTGATAAACTGTACTATGTACTTGATCTGAATTACTACAGAACTTTAAGTTGCTTGCTTCTTAATGATTCCCAGGAAACTTAGTTCTAGGCATATACTTTATATAAAGTATTATACAGTATTAACTATGCAAATGAGTTCTAAAGTTACACAATTATGTGTGTAATGTTTTAGTGCAATTACTGTGATTTATTCTTCGATCCTCTGTTCATTCTAAAGTTTTCTGGAATTGTCAAGCTGCCTTGATTTATAAAAATCTGGTTTAACATGTATACAGGCATAGCAGTCATTTTGTTAAGTTTCTAAATAGGTGACATAAAAATAAAATCAAGGCTTTGAAACAAATTGATGCTGTTGCTTTAGCTATTTCAGTAGAAAAACACTGGCTCATTCTGTACATTGAGCTCTATTTCCAAAACTTAGATTAGGCACCTTGACATCTCATGTGTCCTTTAGTTGGGTTGTCTAGGGATGAAAAGCAGGTGGATATGATCTGGGTAATCACAGCGTTGGTCACGTCTTGTCAACAGAGGGGTCTACAGGCCCTTTGTGTCATTATGGTGTTTATGAAGCCTGTACAAAAATGCTGGGAGAGTCCTTTCACTCAAAGATTATGTTCCTTCTTTTTTCATCTTTACCTGATGGAATAGCACCAAGGCCCACACAAAAAGTATGATAACCTCTGTCACACACATCACAGAACATCATTTCTTCTTCATGGTGGGGTTGTCCACATATAATGCAAGTTTTACATTCCATACATTGCCATGGGTAGGTCTTAATCATAGAAACAAGCTCCATGGTCATATCCAGGCAAGAAGGATGGCCTAAACCAAAACCAATATTAGTAGTATTTCACACAAGAATTTTTAACTTAATATAGCATAATAAAATGCTAGTTTTGAGATTTCTCAAGAAGGGCTACAATGTTTAATCGCAGAAGAGAACTGAAAATACAGTGTAGAAGAAAATACATGGACTTCATCTACACCTTATAAGTTGCCCTCTATATTTGATGATTCTATGGTTCAAGTCTATCTGACAACTAAAAATCCTAGTTTTTGAAGCAACAGAGTGGTTAAAAAGTTAAGAAGACATGCCAATACTTACCGCTGTTATCGCACTGGGAGCAGTGGATAAGTGACTCAGCCTTCCCTTTCTTGTTGGTCTCCTTACCCTTGAGACAAATTCCACATAGAGCATTTGGAATGACCTTTGGCTGGAAGGGTAGAAGAGGGCTATAAATTCATGCCAGAAGAACTTACTATGTGTTCAAAAGGAATTCTGTTATTGTAATGCCTTATCTTTACTTTTGGTAACTTGCTAATGAGGACCTTTTTGAAAGACGTAACTTGACATGAGTCTGCTTTCAACATACAATGGCCTACTGACTAAATCCTTATTAGAATTCACTTTAAATTTTGTTAACTGCATGATCTGTGTTAGGATTAAATGTAGCATTCTACACTCCCTACATGCACAGTGAGATCTTTATAATGAACTGAAAGGGAAGACTAAATACAATGTCAAATCACACTATTAACTGGAAGAGAAAAGCTACGCACCAAATGACTATTCATGTAAGTTAGGCTTATTATTTAAAAAACGACTCAGTTTTAAGCAGCTTATATACTGATTTGGTTTAAAAACTGATATTTTCCAAAGCTGTAAAACTAGATCTATAAAATCTAAGTTACAAAATCAATGTTTTCACATTTTTAGTTGAAAGATGTCTCATGCATACACTATCATGTGCAAAAATATGTGTGGAAAACCGAGCTGTGTGATGATTCCCTTTGCCTATCTAATAAATTAATAAATGAGCCTACATGGGAAAATGCATTCAGTGTGAAAAACAAAACATAAAAGAGAAAAGTAAGTTTTCAGACAAGCAAAAAAAAATTATCACTCAAATACAAAGACACATTTTGAGTACTAATCATTTGTCAGATTAAAAACATGCTCAATCCAATGAAGGTATCTGGCTTTAAAAAACACTTGGCAACACGTGGAAAAGGACAAAAAAGAGAAGATTCACCACATCTGAAATTACTGGGGTGAGAACATTCCAGCATCATAGCCTTGACTGTGGTGATATGATGCTCACTCATGCTATATGAATACGTAAGGACAGTGGGAGAAAAAGAAGAGCAAGCATGGCCCAAGTAGGAAATGGGGGCCAGAGGTGGATATATATATATATATATATATATATATATATATATATATATGAACCGGGAGAAAAATTATTTTAAATAGAATTATTATATTTGTTTTATTCCAACCCAGCCAAATGCATCTTAAATTTTCTTTTCCTAAGTTACTGAACCAAAGAGGAGCCTAAATGAAACTCCAACTTTGTATATGGTATTCGGCTTTGAAATGTCTCACTGCCACCTTCAAAACCTGTTAGGCCTAAACAATTTGTTCTTAATTATTTAATTTTTTTATTCTTTAAATTATCTTTCTTTGCAAAAGATGACAGAGGCATTCAAAAATAATTTTTGACTTATTTATTTAAAAAAAGTCAACCTTATACATAAATATAATAAAAACAATAACTCTAAACAATCACAAATGTCTCTACAAAATAATAAATATCATAGAAGTTAAAACATACATATAAAATTTTACCGTTAGCTATTCTACATTTCCTGTACGTATATCTTTATACCCTGCTCACCCAACAAAAGGATAGTGTCACACGCTCAAACCTTTTAAGTCTTGCAGTGTGTTACCCTCTTGTTCCTGCTACATTCTAAGCATAAGGTTCTCATTGTGTTTTCCTATCCCTAAATAAAAAATAGCTAGGAAGTGCACTTCCATGATCCAAATTCTGGTTCAGGTACAATCAAATCTGTAACTGCCATAATATACAGCAGAAAGCTACCTCTCAATCCATCAAAATAAGAAATATCTTTTGGTTATAGTACCTGTACTAAATGTAAAGGATATACTTATCTAATACTTGTAGTTTAAGTTAGATACTGGCATACTAAGTACTCTAGTATCTTGCACTAAAGTCAAGGAAGTAACCACACAATATTCAATTCTAAAGAAAGAACTCCTCATAGGAGATCCTTTACAAAAGTATAAAGGAATAAAACACAAGGCTAGTCATTCACATTCTAGAGCAATTCAAGTTCTACAATCATTAAAATATACATTAAACACCTACGATTAAAAGGACACCAAGAAAATTCCAGATTTACTTCTAAGCTTAAAATCATAATGTTTGGTTAAACCACTTAAAATTTTTCTTACCCAATAGTCTTCACCTTGATGAAAAAAGGGAGAGACAGGGGTGGAGAAGGGAGAGGCAGAGACAGAGCTTTGCAGCATTTTCTACGATGAGGCCACAGCTCAATGTAAAAGGCTTGTTCATTCAAGCACTCTGAGCGCTCTAAGAAGCCACACTGCTCAGCCCAGCACTTTACACAGTGGATACCAATTGTGGCTGGGAAGCTA